AACAGTAAGATATATAACCAGGTGTTCTTATTGATATTTATATTTTTACAAAAGAGTGCTCAGTGTAAATTTACATAGCATAAATATTATAAATTACTGATTGAAAAATATGGTACCTTTGCTACATAGGCATTACCATATTTAAAAAAAACGAAGCTAAAACTTCAAATTTAATTATATAATTACATTAAAAATTCGCTTGAACTATTGCTTTTAATTTAATTATATAATTAAATTTGAAGTTTTAGCTTCGGTTTTGAAACATGGTAATTCTTGTGCAGCGAAGGAACCATAGTTTTAAATCAGTTAATGTAATATATATATATATATATATATATATATATATATATATATATATATATAGTTTCGCTCCAACTGCAAATGTTCAAGCGTGTTAAATTCCTTCGTCACATCGGGTCAGACCTTCAGGGAATGCAATGCTTTGTTCACGGTGCCAAATCATCATAGTTCCCTTCATGTTTCTTTGGCAAGGAGTAATTACTATTCAGAGAGTTCCTTCCTAGATTTATTTCTACGGAGAGGATGCTCCCTTGAATACCAAAATATTAAACTCTTCAAGACCTTGGTCAACCTACATCTATCTTATACGTTTTCATATGCACTTCTTACACCCTCCTTCCTCATCGCTTGCTACAATCACACTCAGTAGCACTCTAGCTTGACTGGCATTTGGGCCTTTTATTGAGGGAGCTGAAGTTATCTTTGGTGATATTTTAGCGCTATTTTGTTAGTGCTTACGAGTTTATAATTTGTCATTATTTTTATAAATTTATTCCTAGAAACTGAAATCAACAAAAGCAAACAATGATCTGATTAACGGCGGTTGCATAACGTAGCAATTATCTATATGGTGCTAGAATCTTTCTGTGAGTGTAATTATACAGACACCTACTCCGGTTGTATGCGGCTAAGTTTTATTTATTGGCTGTAGTTGAAGGGGTATTTGCAAGTTCGGCAATATTTAGGATTCATGATGAATGAGGTTTCATTCTTGCCCACGTTGGGGCCAATGGAATGCCTGGGAGCTATTGGCATGTTCCCGGAGCGAGTTTCTCATCGTCTATGTAAGATGTTTGACTGCATTTTCTTGTTGAAACAAACAGTTACTAAAGGGAATCGTGGTAAGCTGAAAGTAGTAAAAATAGTCTGCAATAAGATGTGTATATTTAAAATATTTCAAGAAAGATTCAAGTTTAAGAAATGGCATTTATATGAAAAAAATATATTGAATTTTAATTAATTTTCGATTTTGTATACCGGTTTCACTGCTGATATAGTAAAGTACAATTATATGTTATTCAGTTTTATATTTGATATTTTTAATGACATGTTGACACATAACAACCAACTGTTTTGATTCAAATTCTACTGGTTTTGATGTCAATATAATTTCATCGAACACAACAATTGGCTTTTCATTAGAGTAAGTATTTCTCTTAAAGTGTTGTCCAGAGATAAAACAAGCTAATGATGGGTTAATGTTTTGTGAGACTCGTTTTTATTTGCATAAAAATTAATATTTCTGCTGCTAGGAAAGTTTGTTCATCGTTTTGTGCTAGACAATTTTTCCTACAAATATCTATTTTGCACATTTATTACAATTATTGAATATTAATTACTGTCATATTTGGTCTGGTACTTCTGCTATGTAATTAGATATTCTTAATAAAATACGAAGACACATCTAGAATATTGTTACTGCTGACCTGGCATATTTTTCAGCCATTTTCCCTCCACAATAATATAGCTTTTTTGTATCTTTTCTATAAATAATTTCATGTTTTTTTTTCATGACGAGCTTTATACTTTGGCACCTAAACCTTATTAATTCAAGTGTACTAATTGTTTGCCGAAAACATGACATTATTTGAGAGTTCTAGATATAACCGTAATGTCTATGTTTACATTTCCTTGTCTCACACTTCACACTTTTAGAACTCTCTTTCCGCTTCTTGTTTCTAAACCAACATAAGTTCCAAAATTTAAATACAATGATAAATCGCTGTCTTCTGTTTACTTAATTGTTGTACTTTTTATTGTTCTTTCTTGTTCATCATGTTTTGTTTTTCACATATTCTCTCTCACTCAGTAACCACTTGCATCTTAGTGGCTTTGTTTCTTTAGTTGGGGTGAAATGATTAAAAACTGGATGGCCAACCGGGGTTTTTGATCCCATGTTATTCTTTATGTATGATGCCTTGCGTTTCATTTGGATTTCCGATTCACCAGTCCAGGATGCTTTTCTACTAAACCTTTAAGGACATGTTATAGGTGTTGGATTTATAAATATTTACGGAGTGTCTTATTTTGTTTTAATATATTTAAATAAATAATATGCCGACTGTCATAAAACAAAACTCCTAATATTAACTTTCTTGCATACAACACGCTTTCTGGGATAATGTATTAGTATTGGTCATTAGCAGATCTAATTACGCTACCTTGAGTTGTTCTTTGCATTCTATTTTCTGAACTTGTATTAAAATACACTAAAATGTCTTATAGTCTGATATTTAAGAAATGTCTTGGCTTGGTTGGCTTGTTTTGTTTTACAGCATATCAACCTCAATGGATCATTTAATGCCAACAATTTTTTTTCTGGTAATATTTTTGTTTTGTCAAAAATCTATTTCTGTTAATATTTTTCCTCAAAAACGTATAGCTGGTAATATTATTTTTTCAAAAACGTACAGGTGGTAATATATTTTTCAAAAACGTATTGCTGGTAATATTTTTTTCTTCAAAAATTTATTCCGGCTAATAATTTTTTACAAATTATTTCTGGTATTAAAACCTCATTTTACAATTTTATAATGCATTTTACCCCAGTTTCTGGGTTAACTATTTGCCTATAGCTGGGACCCTAACAGGTTCTACCACTGTGTATCAGGGTGGACCTGGGAACACCAGCAATTAAGAGGCGGTTCCACGCTCCTCAAAGCCTCCTGATCAGAGGCCTTGCTGTTGGACGTAGTTTATCGTCTTACCCTGTCCGTGGATGTAGTTTACCGTCATAGCCAGGACGGTTTAAGAAATTTTTACGACGGATTTGTCAGTACAGTAGGTTCACCAAATCCCAAATTAGGTATAACGCCACCTAGTGGAAGAAAACCCACATTGGTATACTTCTACTACTAATTGGAAAAATCTCCCTGTCGACAATCTAGATCAAGATTCTTATGATTCCTCGTCCAACGTAGACTTACCTTCTATCGAATAGGCTACAAACATGACTCTCATGATCAGTGAGCCCGGCGCAGGTCTTCTCCGTTCCAATGGTTCCTGTCTCGTTTGCTTTGTTTGTTTTTTGTATTTCTAAATATTTCACCTCAATGAATGTGATAAAACTACTAAGGCGCTAGGTATCACTGTGAGTATTTTAAGAAATCTAATGAAAATGAAATAGGCTACAGATGTCTGTTTACTTGTATTTACGTTTTTGAATATTCTAATTGACAGAGAGGTGAGGCAGAAAAGGAGTTTCAACGTCCAGAGATAAATTATTAGAATAGAACTTAAGGTTACATGGAAGAATTCAAAAGTAAAATGATGAGACTAATCTGCCAAACTTACCAGGCTGAAATTCATGGAATTGGTGTATGAAAACGGTATCCTCGCCAGAACAATGGACAAGAAAATATTTATAGAAAAAATAGAGTGAAGCTGTCTTATTGATATATGGATGTGTCTGAAACGTAAATGACATCATAATATTTTAGATTCTTCCTTGGATTGTGTCAAGTATATCTACATACATAGCAAACGTAGCAGACCAGATACATCAACAACATTCAATGATGGACGACAAGTAAACTTATAAAATTGCAGGACAGATTCAGTATAGAAAAATTGTCAAGCACAACACATAATTCCGTAACCAATGCCAACGATACCATTTTTGATGATAAAATGACACTATATAATTCATTGCTCGCTGTAGGTTTGCTGAGAGTGTGTGTAGTACCAGCTTCCATTTGAGAGTAATTCAATTCTAACTAACAATTTGATATTTACATTCCTTGGGTATCACCGACGCACGCGTTATTGCATAATTTATAAATGTCTAAAGTTTCCCCCCTGCTACACTTGTTATTATTGCCTGATAAATATAATATCTGATGTGCAGGGTCACAGCAGTCACTGCAGTTAAACGGTGTAAAATTTGTCAGAAAAATATGACAGCCATACATTTCCATCTCCACAGATGCACTACACCTATTGTTTTAACCATAAGGCACCTATCCAATCCAGATATTGCAGCCGTTAGATGTTGTTTGTAACTATTAGTTGATTTACATGAAAATAAAACTCATACACGCAATGAAGGCTTTATATTTTCATCAATGTTTTCGGGAAAAATTCGATATAGCAAATATGGCTAACATCGAAGAGGTTCAGCGTGATTATTAATTTTCCTGTTCACGTCTCCAATATTTTCAGTTGTTTTCGTCCAATTTACAGATGGAACTTATTGACTCCCAAATTTGAAGCACATTCTTCAATAAACTCGAAAACTCTACTACAGCCGGAGGCATTTCTTTTATTATTTCCCTTTTGTTATTGGAGACGTCAGCAAATTCGCCAATTATTACACACCTCCCTTTTTCACAGCGTCCTTATATTTCGTTATTTTCGAAGTTGTAATTTTGTTTTCTCTTCAAGCAACATAGAATATTTTTCTTTACATTGTTTAAATAAACATATGCGGCTTTCTTGTTTTATTGAATGATTCGTTTTTGACGGCTTATCAACCATTTGCAGGTTACATAAATATAGAAAATACTTTCAGATTGTAACTTCTTTTAGCAGATAATCATTTTCTGATACAAGTCGTACTAATTAATCCATCACTGGGGGCGGGGATAAGTGGTCGATTCATGCCACCCGCAAGGGAATTTGTGTGTGAGTAAAACGAACCCAACTAGACTTACTGATAATAATTGGGGGATATTATCCATTTCACCACCCACATATCCAAGATTACAGAACCTGCTGTTCCCAAGCGGTCACCTGCCTAAGCAGTGACCAGGCTCCACGTTGCTTAACTTCAGTGATCATACGGGGACCTCTACTTTAAACGTGATATGGCTGTATGCCCTTTCTTTATTGGATTTGTTTTGTTTTGATTTACTCATTAATAAACTCGTTGAATTTTCTAATTATATTCTAAAAGAGTATTTAATTCTATCATTATATGGTCGGATCCGTATTAGTTTTCATGGATTTATTAGTGTATGCTCTGACAGCCTTAAAATAACCGACTCAGAATATTAATTATATTCTTATAAGACAGTGAGAAATGAATTTGTATAAATAATGTTTAAAAAAAGGGATAGGATGATAATTTTACACTGGATGAATGAGATACTATATTCAGCTGTGGTGATATTTTTTTTTTCAATTGGTATTACCCCATGCAAGGTAGTAAAGCCACTAAGGCACAAGTAGCTACAAGGTATGGGAAGAACTAGGCGCATGGCCCGGCGTTGTCCGTTCTTGATTAAAAAATTGTACAACTCATAGAGCAATCGCTATCACTTGACATAAAATAGTTCTACACTTGCTTGCCTTTAAATGAGTGCCCTTTGTCGTGCTGATGTTGCCACATGCCTTACTTCTTGACTATCTGACACTGCAAATTTTTTCTAAGCTCTACACTAAACATTAAATCTGTTACGAAAAAAGAACTAAACAAAATGAACACAAAACGATTAGCTTTAAAAAAGGACTCGTAACTGGAAGAACCGAATGAAAAAAGAATGTTAACAACAAATATTTTTAACACCGAACCCAGTTCTGCGGAATCAGAATCAACGTTGAGTTTAAGCAAGCGAATGAGCCAATTGGAGTAAAGTGCCATGCAGATTTAAATTTTCCCACTTGTGACCAATGCAGCTATCGATTTTTTTTTGCATGCTAGCATGCTAGTTAGCATTCATGTCAGTCAGCTGTTGGCTCTCACGCTGGCCAATAGAATCTTCCTTCCTATTCGTGGCAGCCAGCTATAAGCTCTCACTCTGGACAAGAGAAAATGGCCGCAAACTACATGAAAACTGCCGTAGAAGCATGAAAACATCGATTATTTCCACTATCGATGGGAGTTGGGAAATGCACAATCGTTGTTGGCCTTTCCGCTAACTTGGAGCATGTGCATGTAAATTTTGGTGCAAATCCGTCGAAAATTGCGGCCGTGCATTCGTTACACGCACACACACACACTGCCTTTTATAGATAGAGATTAGTAATAGAAACATTAATTAATGATTGGGGAGAATGAAGAGTAATTCGGGCATTAAGTATCGATTGTCGTTGCACTTTAATTTTTTTCAGATTACAGTTGGCTTGAAGGCATGGAGATGGAAAGGAGTTCCGCAGGCAAGAAGCGCGAGAAAAGAAACAGTTTTCATTGAAGTTACGGCTCCATGTGGTTAGTTCAACAGTAAATTGATAGAGATCTTGACACCAGTCTAGTACTCCGCTTAAATTCAAAAAGTCTATGTACCATAGCGAAATGCAATATTTATTTATTTTTTAAATCTACAAAAACGTGCCACGCAAAGGCCAAAAGGGGGAATAGGGAGAGGATGTCTTATTATTAATGTTAGCTAACCACAGTCACTGACCCAATCATACCGCAATATTCTTTACACCAAAACAATACTTTCTTACTTATCATTCTTACTACATCAACAATAATGTCTCAGAAACTCTATGAAGGCTTAACTAGTTCACATAAGTACATTTTGCCTATGGAGGGGGGGGAATAAAACAACAACAAATTAAAAACATAAACCCCTATTTGTATTTAAAATATGAAATAATCTACTTACTAGAAACTAAATAAAAGTGTTAGTTAAAAAAATGAACACACTCGTTGTGTGAAAATCATCAGTTAACTGGACGAAATTAATGCGGGATTTTATAATATAAAACACCCATTCTTCCTACCTCGCACACATTCCCTGAAACAGTAAAAAAAATACGAAAATCACACACTAAAAATGAAAGGAGTCCCGCATACGCTAGAGGAGTAATATCTCCGGTTACCTAATACAACAGAGAGGGGGAATCAAACTAACTATATTATGGGGCAGAAATGAAAGAGGCCAATGTGCTTACATGCCCTAGCTAAGAAAACTTTGAAAGAAGACACTAAAGACAATAAACACTAAACTAAATTAATTTTAGAGTGGATTGCCAATAATCATTGCGGTTAAAATAGTATCCTAATCCTTAAATGGCATCAAAGTACCACTCTAAATCGGCAACTCTTACTCGATACAAACGCGCAAATGTCCCCAACACCTGACGTTGCCTTTCTAATCTTGACTTAGCTTTTCGTCCCCATCAGCCTTCGTCATCGACGTACCACATTGCTACTGACAGAAATTAGTTCGAAGAGGAAAACCTTCCGCGCAGCATGCGAACCATGCTATCTTCAATAAATCTGCCCAACGGGACGACGACCATGCAAGGAAAGAATTTGTGATTCACGGTCTCCACCAGGTGAATGCAGTTTGCAGAATTTAAAAGCCTTCCGAACAAAGACTTTTGCCGACCAAGAGGACACTTCCAAACATCAGCCTTTATGAGACACTTAAACCCAGGTACTCATGGCCATATTGAGCGAACCTTCTGCTTCGGAAGTCCAAGCTCGTCTATCAGATCATATTGTACGGACCCACTACCTCTCACGTAATATTGTGTCCTAAATGACAACGCCTGGACGTTGAAGAGGACATCCGTCTTCAGTAAATGGTGTTTCACAGATGTTTTTCCTTATCATTGTGTGCTTGTTGGGGGTCATCTAATAGTCCATCTTCTATAAAATTTTCGTAACTCTTAGCCATTCCCCAAATTTCCGCAATGTTAATAATACAACTTGGAGGTGATTTCGAACATGAGGGTGATTCCATATCTGTCAGTTTCTCTCGCCATATTCTAGTCAATAATAATTTTGGTCTGTACTTCATTTTCTGTGGTACTATTTTTCTCAGTCAGCACAGTCATTTCATTATTTTGGGATTTTACCCGTTAACCAGCATTCTTTTTATCAGATTGGTCTGTCTTACAAACAGACCCCAAAAACATCTTTCTACCAGACGGATGATGTTTGTTTGCCAGCATGATAAATCAGTTACCACCTAAAAAAGCGGGCAAATATTTATTTCTTTAAACTAGTGAAAAAATAGTAATTGGAGGAGGGTGAAGTAAAGGAGGGGAAAACGCAAACTGTAAATACTTATTCAAAAATAAAAATATAGATTCCTTCTATAAAACAGGAGTTAAATAAAAAGAATCCGTACAAAGAGGGGTGGCTAAGAAAAAGCAACAATGCAAAATGAAAGTGTACAATAAAAGAAGACAGTGGTTAAATAAGGGAAAACAAAAAAATCCGAATTAACTACCGAGATGAACAAATTTATAATTAATCTTGAAAAAAAAAAAAAATTAAACGAAATAGTTTTAATTTTTTTTAAAGTTTAAACTAAATGCAATAATTTTGTAAGAAATAAAGCCGAATTATAACATAAGTCTGTGAAAAGTAAACTTTAACCAAACAACCTAAATAAAATCGGCCGAAACCGAGGATGGAAACCGAGGAATTATTCAAAATTAAAAAAGCTATTAAGAAAAAAAGATTTCGTTTAAACGTTCTTAAAAATCTACTTCAATTAAGGCAGATATTAAATAAAATAAGAAACTAAACAAAACAAAAAATATAATAAAACAAGGAGTCTAGTAAAACGTTAATAAAAAAAATAGAATATGCTGGTCAAAAATCTGAAAAATAGAACAGACAGGAAATTTTTTTTTTTTTTTTTTTTAAATTCTACGACAAACAGATTTCTTTTTAAGTTTTTCGAATCCCGTCAGAAACAAAAAGCAAACTAAAAATTAAATACAAAAGCAAAGAAAAGTAGTTTTGATAAGATTTTAGGCAAACCAGGAAAATAAAAATAAAGCTGGCAGACAAAGTCGACAGGAATACACTGAAACAAAAAAAACAAAAACAAATAAATGAATAAAGAAAAATAAATAATATCAACTCAACAAAATCTATTCAATCGAAAAATTTCTGAATTAATGTCCAAAATTATTTGTGTTGCAAGAATTCCGATTAAGAGGACTGGTCTGAAAATAGGTCTGTTTACATTAAAAACGAGACGAGCATAAGGAAGAGATCATTCGAACAATTACCATGAAAATATTTACAGAAATGACACAGAGTGGCAAAGTTATGGCCTATGGAAAAATTACTGAAGCCTTAACAGAACCAATAAAATTGCTGATTCTTTGGATTTTATCAAGGAGCTCAAGGTAACTAGCAGTGTCACAATTGTGGCAGCAATATTTTATACATGGACAAATGGTAGACTTATAGATATTTAAGATAGATTCTGGAAAGAATAGTTGTCACGCAAGTCACAGTACACCAAATTTCCTTATAGTTGACCTAGCAATGGATTCAATATAGCCTTTTCACTTCATGCTAGCTGAAAAAGTTAGCCCGTGAATATGAACGAATCAATTTCTTGGATGTTAGCATCAGCCATGCTGATGGAAGGCAAAGATTGGTCTCTCAGGTGATTAATGGAGAAACGTTTCATTTTTGAAGGCGTTACAATTTAGAAGCCATCGTTTGCCCCTGTTGCCTGAGGTCGTTTTATAGGTCGGCTGCCATTTTGATCTTGATGTACTGATCGGCCTTACTACCGAGGCACAAGTAAATGCTTGTTTCAACAGCATAGGTACCAAGTTGAGAGCTGACGTCATCGGGAAGGTCATTAATGAAAATTAAAAACAGATTTTTTTTAATGATGTCAATAAAAACAGTAATAATAAAAAAAAAAGATTAGAAATTCAGAAATTAAAAAAAAAAAGATGTGGAAAGATTCTTTCTAAAAGACCCCAAGAGAAGATGTTATTTTTGCATTTTTCTTTGTTTTTGAAGATTTTGATCGAGTTACAACGGACTCATCTCAAAGAGCAACACTTTCATTGTTCATTCAATGTCGTTGGGAATTGAACAATGACGAGTTATTTTTGGTGGCTGGCTGTTTGAAGAACGAACAATTCTATTTGCTTCATTT